TAATTTAGTTTCTAACTTACCCCACAGAATCTTCCAAAAATGACTAAGGAAGTTAACATCCCTATCCGATATAATACTCCTAAGTACCCCATATAAGAGCACTACTTCCTTAAAAAATAAATTCGCAATATTAATGGCATCATCAATTTTATGACATAAAATGAAATGAGCCTTCTTATTAAATCTATCTACCACCACAAATATGGAATCTCATCCTTTCTGTCTTAAGTAAACTCAACACAAAGTTCATAGACATATCAACCCAATGCTCACTAGGAACGGGTAATGTATACAAACCTTGAGGTAAAATCTTAGACTTAACCTTTTTACAAGTAATACATCTACTGCAAACCCAATCAACATCAACATTCATCCTAGGCCAATAGAAGTGTTCGTTTAACCTATCCAAAGTCTTCTTAATCCAAAAGTGGCCCGTTAAACCTCGACTATGTGCTTCACATACTAACAATTGTTTCATTGAACACCTAGGTACACATAACTTATTCTCCTGAAATAAATATCCATTATATCTAAAGAATCTATCTATTGCACATTTGTCAAATAATTTATATATATTAGAAAAGTTCACGTCATTAGTATACATATCTCTAACATATTCAAATCCTAACAATTTAGGACCTAAAGAAGTAAGAAGTGCATATCTCCTTGGCAATGCATCTGCTAACACTTTTTTTTTTACTTTGTTTGTACCAAATAACATATGAAAATGTCTCAATGAACTCCATCCGCCTTGCATGCCTCTTCTTTAGTTTACCTTGACCTTTTAAATACTTCAAGAACTTATGATCGGCATGAATCACGAACTCATTTGGCCATATGTAATGCGGCATGTCTCCAAAACTCGAACAAGTGCATATAACCCGTTGTCATATGTAGGATAGCTGAGAGCTGCTCTACCTAACTTTTCACTGAAGTACTATTACCCTTCGTTCCTGCATCAAGACAACTCCAATACCTATTTTTGATGCATCACATTCAACCTCAAAAGTATTGTTAAAGTTACTGATAAAATGGGTGCAGTGCACAACTTATCCTTAATAGTATTAAAAACATGTTCTTGTGCAATGTCCCAATGTAATCTTATTCATTTCTATACAATCTCCGTGAGTGGTGTGGCAAGCGTGTTAAAAGTTTTAACAAAATGCCCATAAAAGCTAGCTAAATCATGAAAACTCTTTACTTCAGTTGTACTTTTTGAAGTTGGCCACTTCTTGATAGTTTTGATTTTCTCCTTATTTACTTCAATTTCCTTTGCACTAACAATATAACCAAGAAAAACAATTTTTTCCATGCAAAATGTACACTTTTTAAAGTTAGCACAAAGTTATTCTTGTTTTAAGACCACAAACACACATTTCAAATGTCTTATATGCTCATTTAAATCCTTACTATATACCAAAATATTATCGAAGTAAACTAATACGAATTTACCTATAGATGCACTCAAGACATGGTTCATTGATTTTATAAATGTGCTAGGTGCATTAGTAAGTCCAAATGACATGACTAACCACTCATAAATAGGGGTGGGCAAAACCCGACTGAAGCCGCCAAAATCGCCAAAATCGAACCAATCCGACGGGGTTAGGTCGGTTTTTTTATTGTTTTTACACAGGTTGGGTGGGTTGGCTGTGTAGGCGGGTTGGGTTGGATTGGGTCGGGTTATGGGTTAATTCAAGAAAACCGAATAAACCCGCCCAACCCAACCAAACCCAACCCAACCCAACACTTTAAAAAAAAGAAAAATAAAAATAAAAGAAATAAATGCCTAGAAAAGTAAAAGAAACATAAAAAGTATGAGTAGATATTGTAACTGTAATTATCTTAGTGTATTTTAGAGAATGAGCTTACCGTTCTTCCCACAAGAAATGTAGTATACATTTTCCATGTTATGTTAAATTCACTTTGTTCTTTATATGCTTAGCTAATGAGGATTGAATAAGATAATATATAATTTTATTTATTTATTTATTTACTTATTATTTAATCTTGTATATTTGAATTTAATATAATAGAAAATTGGATGACTTTAATTTTTGTTGACAAGTCATTCCAAATAGACCAACCCAATCCAACCCGATCGATACTTGATTGGGTTGGGTAGGGTTTCAAATTTTACACGGGTTGTGTTAAATTTTAATCAAACCGATCATGTTGGGTTGGGTTTGTGTTGAGGCAAAAATCAACCCAATCCAACCCATGCCCAACCCTACTCTTACAAACCATACTTAGTCTTAAAAGCGGTTTTTCACTCTTTCCTCTCTCATCCTAATTTGATGATATTCACTTTTGAAATCTTTTTTACTAAACATGCATGATCCATGTAATTCATCTAACATAGGTATAGGGTGACGACATTTTATCGTTATGTTGTTGATCGCCCGACAGTTTATGCACATCCTCCAAGTCCTATATTTTTTCGGCACAAGTAGCATTGGCACGACACATGGACTCACACTTTCCCTCACATAACCTTTGCTCACCAATTCTTCCACTTGCCTATGAAGTTCCTTGGTCTCCTCAGAATTACTCCGATAAACCGTCATGTTTGGAATAACAGCTCCAGGTACAAAGCCAATTTAGCCCCCGCTTGACACCCATTATTTTGAAGAATGAGTTTTTGAATAGTGATTGATGTAAAGAATGTGTGGTTAAAAAGTAAGAAGAATTTTTGGGTTTATGTGTAATATTATTTTATTTGAAAAATGTGTGGTTAGAAATGAGTACTGTAGAAAAATGAGAATGAGAATGAGAATGAGATAAAAAATGGGTGTCAAACAGGGGCTTAATACTCAATGCCTCAAATGGGTGGTAACTCATTAGGTATGTCCTTCGAAAACAAGTTTTCAAATTCCTGCAATAAAGAAGTAGTCAATCTAGGGATGAGTGTTTTAGATTCCTCAAAGTTGATGAGTGATTCCTTATAAACTAACAAGATCATAAGTCGATTCTCAACTACTACCCTCTTCAACTCACTCCTTGTTGCAAAGAAATTCACTTTCAACTTTACTCTCCTCTCATAATTCAAGTCATCTTTTGTGTCATCCAATGCAAAATCATCTTCATCGTGTTCTCTTATTTCAACTCAAAAATTTATATTACTCATTGTAGATGATCTCATATTGTTGACAATATCTTCCTCATCATCACAATCATCAACATTTCAAAATTGTATACTACTAGCATCACGTGTTAGTAAAACTAGCGTAAGACAGAAGAAGAATGAGATTTAGGCTTAGTGTAGATAGTTTGCGACTCTACAAATTTTTTTTTTTGATTTTTGATTTTTTTAAACGTCGAAACCCTACAGATTGCTGTATATAATCCATGGATTTCGGTGATTTGGGCAAATTTAAAATTTTTCATACTGATTTTGACACAATTTTTAACACAAATGCGTGTACATTTTGATGTTTAAACGTGTCTATGCGGTTAACGAAATGGGTTGATCGAATTATCACACTATACCCCATAAGCGACGCGTTTAGAAAATGCATTGAGAATATGCGGGCATTTTAAAACACTGCTCCCAAGTTATGAATTCCATCTGCCACATGGGACTAGACATTAGTTCCAATCACATGTTACATGTAGAATGCTGAAATTGAAACCAAATTGTAAATCGAGAATCGTAACAAGGGATATGATTGACTAATTAATGAAATATTAAATATAATTATCCGACACAAATGAGATGCTAAATAAAAGGGTCACCTTTCATTACTATTGTGGAAAACGTTCATACATTTCATTTTTTGGCATTTTCACCCTTATTTCCACATTTCATTGCATAAAGGGTCATTTTCACCTATTTTGTCAATTAAAAATTATGAAATGACAAATATACCCATCTCTTTAAAGAAAAAGAAAAAAATTTATTGCAACAACAATCTCATTTTTTTTTAAAAAGTGCAAATAAGTCACAAATAAATTATTAAAAGGATAATTAATACATAATGTCATTATCTTTCATCGTTACTGTGAAAAAGTCTCTACCTTTCATTTTTTGGCATTTTCACCCTTAATTATACATTTAACTGCGCAAACCATCATTTCTATCTGTTTTCATCAAATTTCTCAATAAAAAGCTGTGAAATGACGAATATACCCTCATATTTAAATAAAAAATATTTTTTTTATTTCTAATTCTTTAATAATTTATTTGGGACTCGTTTGCATTTTTTAATTTTTAAATAAATTTAATTGGGACTCGTTTGCTCTTTTTAAAAATTATTTTTAAAAATAATTTATTGAGGACTTGTTTGCATTTTTAAAAAAAAAATTGGGACTAGAATTACAATTAATTCTTTAGTTTTTTTATTTAAATAGGATAGTATATTAGTCATTTCGTAACTTTTTATCGAGAAATTGAATGAAAATGGATAGAAATGATGGTTTGCGCAATCAAATGTATAATTAAGGGTGAAAAAAAAAAAAGGTATGGACAATTTTCGCAATAACGGTGAAAGATAAAAACATTATGTACTAATTATCCTTTTAATAATTTATTTGTGACTTATTGCACATTTTTTAAAAAATTGGGACTGTGGTTGCAATTTGTTTTTTCTTTTTCCTTTTTATTTTATTTAAAGAGAGGTATATTCGTAATTTCATATTTTTTTAATTGAAAAATAGATGAAAATGAACTTTTGCGCAATGAGAGATGAAAATAAGAGTGAAAATGTCAAAAAATGAAAAATATGAACGTTTTACACAATATCAATATTAATGATAGGTGAGGACGTTATGTGCTAATAAATAAAATTAGAAACCTTTAACGTGTGGTGCATGTTAATCGTGTTGGGGTTAAAGTTTAACCTTTTTATCCACCCTGGATTCTCGAGAGGTGCATTAAACACTCCCAGTTTTGTTTTGTTGAGAATTTCAATAGCTTTAATTGAACCTTACCTGTAATTTCAAGCAAATTTTCATTCATAAACAAATCTTGCGAAATTCCCTTTCATCAGTATACCCAAATAATGGAGTGTTCCCTTTCTTCTTCTCCACTTTCTCCTTATTTTCACATCATTTTCACAGCCTTTGCATTCATTTTATCAGGGTTAATCTTCTTGTTTACCCGTAAATCCAAGACCAAAAACCTCCGCCTGCCTCCAGGCCCGCCAGGATGGCCGGTGGTGGGAAACCTATTCCAATTTGCACGTTCCGGCAAGCCATTTTTTGAATACGTAAGGGAAGTACTCATACCCAAATATGGCCAAATTCTGACACTCAAAATGGGCACTAGAACTATGATTATAATCAGCAGTGCAGATTTAGCCTATGAAGCACTGATTGAAAAGAGTCAGATTTTCGCCTCTCGGCCGAGAGAGAACCCGACGAGAACCATTTTCAGCTGCAATAAGTTTACAGTAAACGCCGCCTTGTACGGCCCCGTGTGGCGGTCCTTGCGGCGGAACATGGTGCAGAACGCGCTCAGTGCAAGTAAACTCAGAGAATTCCGACGAGCCCGGGAGACTGCAATGGATAAACTGATCGAGAGGCTGAAGGCCGAGGCCGAGGCTGAGAGCGGTATTGTTTCTGTGCTGAAAAACGCCCGATCTGCTGCTTTCTACATACTTTTAGCCATGTGTTTTGGTGTAGAAATGGATCAAAAAATGATTGATACAATCGATCAGATGATGAAAACAGTCCTCATTGTTCTTGATCCAAGACTAGATGATTATCTTCCAATTCTAAGCCCATTTTTCTCCAAACAAAGAAAAAGGGTTCACGAAGTTAGAAAAGAACAGATCGAAACTTTAGTCCCTTTGATCGAAAAACGTCGAAATGCAATAAAAAACCCTGGATCTGATCCAACCGCTGCTTCATTTTCATATATCGACACCCTTTTTGATTTAAAGATTGAGGGCAGGGAATCTTCACCTTCAAACCCTGAAATTGTTACGCTTTGCTCCGAGTTCTTGAATGGAGGAACTGATACAACAGGCACAGCAATCGAATGGGCCATAGGAAGAATGATCGAAAATCCTGTGATTCAATCAAGATTATATGATGAGATCAAATCAACGGTGGGTGATCGAAAAGTTGACGAAAAGGATGTAGCGAAAATGCCATATTTAATCGCTGTAGTAAAAGAATTGCTGCGTAAACACCCTCCCACGTACTTTTCCTTGACTCATGCAGTAACTGAGCAAGCCAAGTTAGCGGGCTATGATATTCCGACAGACACAAATGTGGAGTTTTTCTTGCCGGGTATTTCGGAGGATCCGAAAATCTGGTCCAACCCTGAAAAGTTCGACCCGGACAGATTCTTCACCGGACGGGAAGACGCTGATATCACCGGGGTAACCGGAGTGAAAATGATTCCGTTTGGGATTGGGAGGAGAATTTGTCCAGGGCTAAACATGGCTACAGTTCATGTGCATTTGATGATTGCACGAATGGTTCAAGAATTCGAATGGTTCGCTCACCCGGAAAATAGCAAAGTGGATTTCAGTGAGAAGCTAGAGTTTACAGTGGTGATGAAGAATCCTCTAAGAGCCAAGATCAAGCCACGGACATAGATAATTGATAATGGTTTGCTATAAGATATAAAGATTATGATAATTAAATATTACTTGTTTTTGTTTTGCTTAAAGATATTTTATTTTTTTGAACTTTTCGGGATAATATGGTTGTATTGTGCTTTGATGATTTGTTTCTTAATAATCAGTTGTTTGATTTATTGAGGAACTTTCTTGAAGTTGAATTTGGCTTACCCATTTGAGAATAGGGGTGGGGTCCAGCTGTGTCATCATTTTTTTTTTTTAAAATTTTTAAGTACTAAATTTATTTGAGACTTCCCTAAATATAAATAATATTTTTGTAATTTCAATAAGAAATTTTCAATGAAATAATATTTGTCATTAATACAACACAATCGACTAAAATTGAATAATCACAAATTTTTACAAAGAATATGTATAATTTGAATTTTTTCACAAACAAAAATTAAAACTTACATCCCAAATAATTATTTTCCTGCATGTTAATATTCATACTAATAAAATGAAACACACTAAAAATTATCATTAAGCACGAAAAATATATACTAAAATATTACAGTCAACCAACACTTAAAAATATATAGTAATCCAAACTTAATAAATAACTAAAAAGAAAAATACTACTCATCCAAAATTCAAACTTCTTAAAAATTAAATAATAGAGTATTATAATATTCGATTCTTGCATAACTTTAAGTAGCATTCCTACAAAATAATATAAATGTTTAGAAAAAAAATTAATAATATAATAACAAAGCCAGTTGTGCACATTGAATACATTGTCCATCTACTTGAAAAAATCGTAAATGCATGAATTTCTTGGATTTAGCATTCATTTGATTTCTCTGATTCCAAAAGTTCTACAAAAAAAAAAAAAAAAAAAAAAAAAATTAAATTAACAATAAATTATATAAAAGACATTTAACATAATTCATAGAAAAACTATATAATTATATTACATTTGTCCAACTTTTTATATATCTCAACATCTTCCATATAAAATCTCTCCATTATTGCAAACTCTTTAAGCTAGTTTTGGTTACACACCAAAATCTCCACCATCTTAAGGGTTAAAGATCTACAAAATGGATCAAAGATTCTTCATCCAGTACTAAAAGTACTTTCTGATGCCACTGTAGACACTTGAATTACCATAAAATCTCTTCCAAGTTTGAACAAAGTACTGTATTTATTTCTATTAACTCACCACCAGTTAAAAACATCAAAATCACTATTCTCTATATCTTCATAAGCGTCCAACAAGTATATATCAACATCATTTTTAAGTTCAACCAAATCTTTTGCTGCTTTTTTTCTCTTAAACCTAGAAACACGATTAAGAGAGATTGTAGAAGTAGAAACCACACTTGAAGAATTCATTTCACTAGATACTTGATTGCTTTAAAAACTTGTTTCACATCTCACATACCAATCGTAAATAAATATCATATTGTCTTTCAAAATATCGTAAATAGAACTTACGATGCTGGTGGTGGTCAAGTCCAGATCTATGATTATATTATTATAAGTTAGCACATAAATAGGTGTAGGCTGCTCAAAAAGATATATTAAGAAATTCATTCATACGAATAAAAAATTTAGAATAATAGACCTCGAAAACAGCAAATTGTGCATTTCTAAAAGAATACCTGTGACGATGACAAACCACCAGAGCCCAAATTTTTGCCCCGCCCAAGAAACAAAAGAAAGAAACAGTTCAATCGAAACAAAATTCTCAGGTTCCCCACTTCTTCCTCAGTCCAAGGCACTGCCTTTAGATATTTCAAACATGAAGAAACACCCCTACCAAACTTGATACCTTTTGATACCTAAGAGTACAAGCAAATGAGGCGATTGGAATTCCTGATATTAACTGATATATCTATTGTTTAAACAAATAGAGCGAAATGCACGAGTAAACAAAAGAAGGTAATAAGATGATAAGAAAGTGTTAACACCATCCAGAAAGTCAAGAACTTGGTATCATATACCACTTTTATGAATTGCAAACACTAGCCCACATCAAAGGTAGACGGAAGCAATATAAACTAAGCCCACAATTCCACCACTGCAACGGACAAATGCAATCTTAAATGTTTAAATTGCTAGTTGTGAAGATTTTATGCTTCACAATCACCTAAAACCATAACGGTAGAGCTTCTCAGTTTGGTTGTTGTCCTAGAGGTCAATCTACAAATCTGATAAAACTTTGACACTAAGAAAAAACAGACAGAGAAAAATGAGTTCAAATGGTTGCAAGCATTTGCGTATGTAGTGTAATAGATACGTTCCTTCTGGCCAGAATAGAAACAGAAGAAGTAGTAAGGTATTCCAAAAATTGATTGTCGACATCAAATTTATCATCAATGTCAACTAACTTTTGATAACTAGACACTCAAACTGGCTATTGGAGGCTAAAAAAATAACCTCATGCCTCCAACAGCCTCACTAAACAATCCCTTATCTAAACTGTGTACTAGAACAATATTTCAGAATAACAAAAATTACCCATTAATATCCAATATCGAAAAACAGGCTCAAACAAAATCTTGAAAGACATATCCTTCTGAAACCAGCTAATACAAATTGAACGCAGTATTTACAATCCAGTTGCCTCGAAATTGAAGCAGCATTATCTCAGTAAATTGGGCATAATTGACTATACCTCAAATTTCTATGGCGCGGTGGAGAGGACGGTTTTCCTGGCTCCTGTGTTCTTCCAGTGTTGAAAAGAGTTGTAGACGATGGAAATCTCTGGAGAGGGAGACTGGGTTTTGAAGTTGAGAGGATTTCTCGATTTGGAAATAACCGATCCAACCCAACTCATTTTAAAATCAAAATCGACCCAACCTGACCGAATCGGGTCAGGTTGGGTCAGATCCGCGGTTTTGGGTTTATGGGCCCAACCCTATTTGAGATTGTAAATAAATAAATAAATAATTATTGACTATATAGATGCAAAAATGTATAAGTTTATGGCACGTTCTCTTTACCATTTTTAAATCGTTTTCTATTTTCGATTTTCCAAAACATTGAAAACGCATTCTATTTCCTATTTTCGAAAATGCGTTTTTGAAAACAAATTAAAAATTTATAAAGAAAACTCAAAGCGATAAATTTGTCATTTTAAGTGTTTTCAGTTATAATCAAGTCAAAATTTTCAAAACACGTTTTGAGTGTTTTTAATTTAACGTTACCCAAACCACCACCAACACCGCTCGCAACACATAATTGTCGCCGCAGCAACCACCACCATTTGCTGCGTACACCACACCACACCATACCACCACAAAAACCACCGTCGCCACCAGGGGCGGAGCTAGACTTTGAATGTAGGGGGGGCCTGGAGGTTGAGATGAAGGGCTGGGGGCCGACGGGGCTGCCCCCGAAAATTTTTTTTTGATACGTTGTTAACAAAAAAAATCAAAAAACGTATAAAAGAAAGTACTAATATTTAATTTAGTAAAATTATACTTTGATAACGTTGTATAACTACATGATCATCATTCATGTCGGTGAAACTAGGGCAAAAAATTACTGCATTGATCGTTCGAGCGAGCCTCTAGCGAAAGTCGAGTGAGGGTTGAACAGTCGTCAGTATTTTTATCATAACTTTCTCTACCAATGTCCGATTGAGATGATTCAAATTTTTTTGGAAAGCTAACTCGAAGGGCTACAATTCTTCTAAAAATAGCCATATCCAAATTCTAATGTTTTCTATGTGAAAAATGTGTTGAAAGTAGTAATTAAAAAAAAAAAAATTTTAAAATTAAAAAAATTTTTTTTTGTCAAAAATGTTGTGGGGGCCTGGCCCCCACCAGGCCCCCACGTGGCTCCGCCCCTGGTCGCCACAACATTACCCCCACCACCACCTACACCACACCACCACCACACAACCAACATATACACCACTACAAAAATCGTCAAAATCACTGCAGAAAACCGCCACAGTCACGCACCCAAACACCAATGCCACAACCAACCATCGTAGCACACCACACACCGATCACAACCACGTCGCTGCTCGTCGACAGAAAAAGAGTGGAAGAAGAAAGAGGGGAAGGAGAGAGAGAGTAAACAAATTTTCCAATTTTTCAAAATATCAAAAAGAACACATTTTCAATAATTTCAAAATGAACACTCAAAAGACAAAACCCAAAATGAATTCAAAACTCAAAACACAAAACTGAAACATAAAAAAATAAGCCCCTTAGTGATTCCAGTCTAAATAATTATCTTGTTCTGCCAATTAGGTTATAGTACAAACAATGCTAAACAACGAGCATATCAATGTAGATCGTGTCAAAACATGTGCAACTAATGAGTGTACTATCAAAGATCATCTCGAGCATTTAAGCATAATGAGTTTGTGTTCATGATTGCCTACACAATTGTATAGAGGTGTAAAAAGGCCCCATGTCTAACCATCTCAGTCTGGCATGATCCAATTTAAGTAGAACTCTATCAATGTGAGCATGGCAAAAAAATCGTCCACAAGGACTACTGC